ACGACATCGAGCACCACTTGGGAGCCGGGGAGAGAATATCAGGTGGCGCTCATGCTACAGGACGGCAACAAGGGCTCCGTGTACGTGAATGGTGTGATTGTGGGGAGCCCAGAGAATATAGCGACACCTGAGACGCTGGGACATGAAATCACACAATTCTATTTTGGTGGAGGTGAGGGAGACATCAACAGCAATGTGACAGTGACGAGCGTCTTTCTGTACAACCGCCCACTGAGTGTCGGTGAACTAAAAATGGTCAAGAAGAGCGACGACAAAAAAGGAAACGGTGGCGGCTCCATGCGTGGGGGGCGTTTCTCGGGTGCTGCTGTGCGGCATTGTGGCCCTTTACTGAGAAATTGCGGTGAGGACTTCCTGCCACCAGCTGGGACATATGCGTCTGGCCACGCGCTCTTTTAAAGTAATTGCCACTTTTTGTGGACACTTTGTTTTTTCTAGGAGCTTGTGAAAAGAATGATCACGGGAGAGCTGGCTAACTTAATTAATGTATGTGTACATCCTGGTAAATGAATGCATTCTTTATGATACTTTCTACCGTATGAATCTTTTGGGAAGAACGCGACTTTGTAGGGGCAGGGAGCCGATAGAGGCCGGATAATATTTGCTTTTATTTTGCCATCCCACCCACCCCCTTGATTCCCACCACGCGGCGGGGTCTTGTGGTTGGAGGACCCCAAAGTCTGCCAATTCGTAAGTAATAATATTCAAATCCCAACTGAGGACAAAGGACCATGCTGGTGGTCAAGAGAATTCTATATATTGAATGAAAAGAAAACATTGAAGCAATTAACTAAAGAACCTTTTTTTCCTAACTTGTTTGGTTTCCATAGATAATTTCAGGATCCGGCCAGCTGCCCGGAAGATTATTCGGTTTTAATTTTATTTTACTTTGCGCCCTTCTTGCTGTGCAGGGCTTTTTCTCCATGTGGAAGCATGCTCTTCCTCCGGGGACTGCACCGCGGGGTTTTTGTTTTATTCCTTTCTTTTGTGTTGTGTTCCTCCGACAATTACGGGATTCACTCAGTGCTTTTTCTTTTTTTAGTGACCAGAGGCGCGCTCGGCACTGTGTGCCACGCCGATGGTGCCGGCTGATAAAAGAGACAATGGAATGGGGACACGAAACCGCGCCGAGTGTCCCAGTGGGATATAAATGTGTGGGCACCGGGTGTTTGAACGACTGGAAGGAATGTGACGTATTTTCTTATCTTTTATCTGCAGGCGAGAAATGCGCACCGATTTGGAATTCACGCAGCAGCGTGCAGTTTTTTTTTTGTTTTGTTTTTGAGTGAGTTCATAATGGATGACCGATTTAACTTTGTTTTATTTTACTTTCCGGCATGTGTCCTGCGGCTTGCCGCAGCGTGGGCAGCCG